AGTTAGAGAGGGCTTTCTTCAGGGCACTGGGGAGCTTAGGGACAGGAGGGGAGTGGTAAGGACCTCTAGATGTAGCAGCAATCAGGGTGGGATCCAGATGCCTGTGGACAGGCTGTGGCCTTTCAGGGTAAGTGGGAGGCTGCAAAGATGGCTAGGAATGGATAGTATTCTTCAGCAATGGGTACAGGCTGGGGTGGAAGGCGTTAGGCTGATGGGCCTGTCACTATGGGATCAGAAGACTGGGGAAAACAGGCGGGTTAGTGAGCCTGCACTGTGTGTAGGCCCCAAACTTGACGCTGTCACAATCCTTACAGTCTGTCTCTTGGAATGAGTCTAGGGGCAGAAGCTCAGAGCCCCTTCTCAGTAGGGTTGGAAGCGGCCCTGCCGCTGCCACCGCTCAGTCCCTTCCACTGCATGACGAAGGGTGGAGGAAATTCCCAGCAGCATGTGGCCCAGGCCTTGCAGCAGTGCGGAGGCCCATCGGAGGAGATCCCTGAAGGGCAGAGACAAGAAGAAGTCACGGGGTGGGGTCTGGGGGTTCTCCACAGGGGAGAGCTAACAGGGTAGGGGAGTGCAGTCGTAGGGGTGGGGAAGTGTGACATGTTGGTCTCTAACCTGAGTATTTTCTTTGGGCCGAGTCCTTGAATGTCACAGCTCATGGAGTAGAGCCCGTAGAACGTGGCTTTGATGTTCAGGCTGCCAAAGAGGTCTCGAGGGTTTTGCTTGTATACGTCGAAGGTGATGCGGGCGATGTCCTTGCTGTGCTTGGGCTTCTCCCGGCCCAGGCCATACGACAGCACCCCACTCTGTAGGGGCCCCCCACATTGGTGCAATGGACCCTCACATACTGACACTCACCACTAATCCCTGTCAGCACTAGGACAGACCCACCCTTGCCTGGACTGTTGGTCCACTATAAGGGGTCCTCGACAACTCCTCACCTCTCCCGTGGCCTCTGCCCCCAAGATCAGGGTTAGGCAGCAGAAGAGGCTTGGGAGAGACAGAAAGGATCAGCGGCCTAAGCAGCCCCAGGGCGGGCCTCTCACCCTGCTGGGGCTCCAGCTCTGTCCCAACTCCAGCACCATCAGGCATGTGTCATCCTCCAGCAGCTGGAAGAAGTCCTCGCTCTCCACTGTGGTCCCATCCTCCTCCAGCACCAGCGTTAGCACTCCACTCAGCATCAGAGTCTCCTGTGCCTGCCCAGTGGCAAGAAGTAGGAGGGAAGGGGCAGCGCTTATCCCATGCCCCTTCCCTGTCCAGCTGCCCAGCACCCAACGGTTGACCCTAGATGCTGACTGATATCCCAACTCTCCTTCCTGGTGCTTTGCCATCCCTTCTAATGGCTCTAGCTCACGGTGTTCTTTAGCTGTTGGGGGACCCTCACTAGGGGCTGTCCTTTTCCTATTTGTTCCTGCTTTGCTCCTACCATGTCACTGTCATCTCTCTCAGCTTCCCTCCAAGCCATGCCTACTGGTTAGGAATTGAAAAGCTAGCCAGTTTCTCTTGAATGGGTATAGGCACTATGCTGATGGGGCCTGTCACGACGGGGTCTTATCTCCAGTGTCCCACTTCACTCTCCCCGACCCTCACAGAGTTCTTCAGAACTATTTTCAGTAATAATGACTTTTAACCTTTTTGAGTCTTCACTAGTGTCAAGTATCTATGTAGCACTTTACATACATTATTCTCTTTTACTCCTTTCAGCAGCCCTAGGAGGTAGTTGTATTATTGTACCCTTTTTACAGATGAAGAAACTGAGGCGTTTTTTTTTTTTTTTGCGGTACGCGGGCCTCTCACTGTTGTGGCCTCTCCCATTGCGGAGCACAGGCTCTGGACGCACACGCTCAGCGGCCATGGCTCACGGGCCCAGCCGCTCCGCGGCATGTGGGATCTTCTCGGACCGGGGCACGAACCCATGTCCCCTGCATCGGCAGGGGGACTCTCAACCGCTGCGCCACCAGGGAAGCCCGAAACTGAGGTTTTGATAGGCTGAGTAACTTCCCAAGTTTTGACACTAGGAAGCGGCAGAATCAGGATTTGAATTTGATCTGTCATACAAATTGCCGTTCCATACAGAGTTCTGAAATCTATCCCTCCAACCCTGTCTACTCCTTTCCCACCCCCAAAGAAAAGCCCACTCCTTGGAAAAAAAAAAAAAGTGCATTGACTCAAATGCAGCAGAAGCCACTGGGCTCACCCCCCTGCTTTTAGCCCTCAGAGGGAGGGGCAGCCATGTAGCCGAGGCCCTTCCTGCTCATTATTCCAAGCTCACACTCTTCCCTAGCTCCTTGGCTGCCCCTGCTCTTGGAACCCAGGGACGTGGCCCACACACCTTGTCTAGCAGTTCCCGGCGGGTGGCAGCTGTAAGGCCTTTCCGGGTGGCCCGCTTGTGATCACAGACGCGGAAAGGTCGCGGGGGTGGTGGAGCCGAGGTCCAGACCTTACGGCCCAAATCGGAGCTCATACTGGTTACTGACCTGGTAGGTGGGAAGAAAGGTCAAGAAGGAGTGAGGGGTTTGGTGAGTGCAGCGGGGGGTGACGGGCCTGGGGTAGCTGGAGCTTTAGGGAAGTTGCGAGGGAGGGATCTAGGTGTGCAGATTAAAGTAGCTCGGGGAGAGAGGGAGAGACCACGGACTGGGCGCGGGGAGGGGGGAGGGGGGTGGCGGTTCAGGAGCTGGACAAGCCCACTGTGAAAAGGGGCAGGGAGGGGAAGGGGTACAAATTCGAAAGTTTTCTAGGGTCTGAAAGCAGCTTTGTCACCCTGCCTATATCCCCAGAGCTGGAGAGTGGAGAGAAGGGTTAGAAATCACCTGAGCAGGCCGCTGGGGTCCAGGGCAGAGAGGTACTCCATGGTGGAGGGAAGGAGCAGGAGAGTTGCCTCTCCCGGGAGTTCTGGGCTCGGTGGTTCTCGGCGGGGTTGGAGCTGAAGTGGTGGTGTTTTCTGTTACGGAGCTGGGATCTTAGCCCCAGCGAGGTGGGATATGAGTCAAGCCCGGACTCTGGCCCCCCTGCCTGGCCAGTGAGAAGGGCAAAGTCCAAGGGGAGGGAGGAGGGGAAGGGCCAAGGGGGGTGGTGGAGGAAGGATCGAGGCCCAGATATGTCCAGCAAAAGCCATGGAAGTTTGTGTGTGTGTCTCTGGTGGCAGTGTGTGATGTGAGGGTACATGGGAACTATGTAATTGGATGGAATGTGATATCCGGTGTGTTTCTTTATATTGAGGTAATTTCTAGGGCCAATTTCTCCTGGCTCCCAATCTGTGTGAAGCTAGTTATGTGATTTGCTCTGTATGTGCTGCCACCTACTGAAAAAGCCATGAACTGCAGCTTTAGGAACAGGGAGGCCGTGCTGAGGATGGGCAGGGCTTGGAGAAAATAGGACACCTCCAGGCAGTGTGCCTGGGTGGGGTGCAAGGGGAGGATGGGTCCTGATCCATGGGTCCAGAATCACCAGGATCCTGTCTGGGACCCTGGCCTTCCTCTTTCATGCTCTTCGCTCTGTGGGCTAGGGGAGGGGCTGGCTCAACACTTCTCTTCAGAAGAACTGCCGGCTTCAGCTGCACTGGATTAGTCATTCTCTCACCTTTCTCCATTGGCCACTTTATAGGCATGAAGGAGATGTGGAAGGCGGAAGAGGGGATGGGTCCTTTGATGACATCAGGACTTTAGCATTCGGTGCCCCGTGTCCCATCTCTGATTTCAGCTGCAGTTGTGATGAACAGTTGTGAGGAAGCTCAGACTCTCACTGTCAGTGAATCCCTCACATGAGCATAAGTCTCCTTGATTTCTTGCCCAGGAGTCTTATCTGAAGCTGTAGCAGCCCACTCAGCCCCCTGACAAGTACAGGCTGCAAGTGTGTATAAGGGCATTAATGCCTCTAGGACAACCCTCAAACAATGGGGAATGTGAGCTGGCCATAAACGCCCGTCTTCTCTCTTTCTGGAAGCTATTTTGTGCACTCAGAGGTTCCTGATGCCCACTGAATATTGGAATTCAATAATACACTCTTACTGGTTTTCCTCTTCCCTCTCTTCCCCTGCTCCCTCACTCCTGCTTCCCGACCTGACTCCCCAAATACCAGATTACCCATGTCCTCGACTCAGGCTCTGCTCTGGAGGGAACCCAAACTGAGACAAGACTGGTGTCCTGGCTCCCAAGGAACCCCCTTCTGGCTGTTGACTGGGCAGAAGCCTTTTTTCCCTTTCCCTAAATTTCATCAGTCTACCAAATTTCTTCCTTTCCAAGCTTTGCCCAACCTCACGACCTAGAGAAGTAAGTCTCTACACTGCGCCCTTTCCTTTTTCCTTGCGTTGTATCCTGGTGCAGCCTGGCAGTGTGGCCTCTTCATGGTTGTCAGTTAGGACTCCTCAACCAGGCTATAAGCCCCTCACACCTCCATGCATCTCCCATTCCGCCTGGAACTTAACCTATGCTTTACACTGAAAGCTGCCATTGACAGCCCACTGAGAGGTGTGAGGGCAGAATGACTGGGGCAGGGTCCAAGGCAAGAGGTGAGAGGGGTAGGTAGGAAGCTGAGGAAAAAGGGGGCTCAGGAGTCTGAGTCTCAGGGTCACGAGTCTGAAAACAGGCAAAGGTAGAGCAGCTGGGGGAATGAGGAGTTGGGTCGCCTTCTCTGCTGAGTGCAGGCAAGAGCGGCCAGACAGCATAAGAGCTGCAGGGTGGGAGGATTGGGACCAGAGGGTGGGGGGCAGGGGGTGGGGAGGGATGAGCGCAGAAGCAGGACCCAGGGGCAGGATCTGGCAGTGTCCCTACTCACCCACACGACCAGGGAACCTTATCTGCACCCCTTCAGCTTATCCTGTTTCCTGGGGAGGCGGGCTCTCACACGCCTGGACGTGTTAGTGATGGGAAGCAGCAGGGTGAGGGAGGGGCCCCAGGAAAGGCCTGAGAGGAGCCCCATCTTGTCCCTCCCTGTTTTCGCCTCACCCTCTGACAACCTGACAGGCACAGGACAGGATTAGGCACCTGGCCCACTGCCCCTTTGCCTTTGGGCTTCCCCAGGCCCCTGGAGGGCCCCCAACCCTGCTCGCTTCCAGCTGGGTAAGTAGATCTGCCCATGAGACCATACTCCCTTCCACTCACTTTTGCCCTGAGGTATAGGCAACGGGGCTGGACGAAAAAGGAGAGGCCAGGTTAGGAGGGTGGAAGGTGGAGGCAGTGACAGCCTGGGAGTCAGGACTGGGGAGGTCGGCTGACCCAGAGCAGGGGATTTGGGTTCCAGGAAGCAGTGTTTGAGCTGGGTCTGGGGTCCTGGAGGAAGAGACAGAAGCTCCCAGACAGAAGAGAGGCAGGCTGCAGAGGAGTGAGGAAGGCACAGTCCCTTCTCACCGGCATCAGGCGTAACGTGGGCTTTTGCCCCACCTGAAAGCGCTCCATGGCTCTTTCCAGCCTCCCGTAGGCGCCTAGGGATGTCGGTCTGCTACGGTCCCCCGGGGAACGAGACGCTGCTGAGCTGGAAGCCCTCGCGGGTCACAGGCACGGCCTTCCTGCTGCTGGCGGCGCTGCTGGGGCTGCCTGGCAACGGCTTCGTGGTGTGGAGCTTGGCGGGCTGGCGGCCCGCACGGGGGCGACCGCTGGCGGCCACGCTCGTGCTGCACCTGGCGCTGGCCGACGGCTCGGTGCTACTGCTCACGCCGCTCTTCGTGACCTTCCTGACCCGGCAGGCCTGGCCGCTGGGCCAGGCGGGCTGCAAGGCCGTGTACTACGTGTGCGCGCTCAGCATGTACGCCAGCGTGCTGCTCACCGGCCTGCTCAGCCTGCAGCGCTGCCTCGCCGTCACCCGCCCCTTCCTGGCGCCCCGGCTGCGCAGCCCGGCCCTGGCCCGCCGCCTGCTGCTGGCCGTCTGGCTGGCCGCCCTGGTGCTCGCCAGCCCGGCCGCCGTGTACCGCCACCTCTGGGCGGACCGCGTGTGCCAGCTGTGCCACCCGTCGCCCGCCCACGCCGCCGCCCACCTGAGCCTGGAGACCCTGACGGCCTTCGTGCTGCCCTTCGGGCTGGTGCTCGGCTGCTACGGCGTGACGCTGGTGCGGCTGCGGGGCACCCGCTGGGGCGCCAGGCGGCACGGGGCGCGGGTGGGCCGGCTGGTGGGCGCCATCGTGCTGGCCTTTGGCTTGCTCTGGGCCCCCTACCACGCTGTCAACGTGCTGCAGGCGCTCGCCGCGCTGGCTCCGCCCGAAGGAGCCTTGGCGAGCCTGGGCGGGGCGGGCCAGGCGGCGCGAGCCGGAACCACGGCTCTGGCCTTCTTCAGCTCCAGCGTCAACCCGCTGCTCTACCTCTTCACCGCCGGGGATCTACTGCCCCGGGCGGGTCCCCGCTTCCTCACGCGGCTCTTCGAGGGCTCCAGAGAGGCCCGATGGGGCGTCCAGTCTAGGGTGGGGGCCATGGAGCTCCGAGCTACCCCTTGGCTCAAAGTGCTGGGGCAGGGCCATGGCAATGGAGACCCTGGGGGCGGGGCGGAGAGGGACAGTCAGGGATGAGACCCTTGACGTCAAACCCTACAACCGGGCCTGCTCTCCCCTATCCCCTTACATCGCCTCCCAGAACTCAGGGAACCACTGTGGACGGTTTGGGGATCCTTCTCTGACCATAGTTTTGACCTGTCTGGGCAGAATTATCATACATCTGGGGCAGGCCCAGGTTCCTCAAACTGAGGGACTTTGAGAGGTGATGGTCAGTGTTAAGGAGTATCATGTACTTGCAGGTTGGCATGTGCCCAGGTGCCAGAGCTGCTTACTTGTTGCCAATAGCTATTGTGAAATACACTGGGTGGTCATTATGTTTCAGCAAAAATAGAAATGAGACTTTTCTGATAAGCAAGGAAAATAAGCAAACAATGAACAGGCTGGGGAAACAGCATAAACAGGCCTGAAAGAGTTAAGCAACCTTGGTTACTCGTTAGCTGTTACTACTAACAAACACTTGTAGCTAGACTTGTCCTTCACAAAGCTAAACAAAGCTAATTACTCTCTGATTCCATAGGAATTATACTCTGCACCTGGCATTCTTCTCCCCCCTACACTCTCTCGCAGCATTAAAAGAAGGTCACGGGACGATAACTTCAGGGACACCAGACCCGGTCGCCTTTTGCTAGCTGTGGCCGTTTTAAAATATTGCAAGAAGAAGCAGAATGCAAAACCTTCACCACTTTGATCCTTATCACTTACCCTGGACTGCAAGTTCTACCTATAAGACCCTCTGTAATCCCCCAGGAGAGGCAGGGCACAGTTCTTGAGGTGCTAGCCTGCTGTGTTTCCCTCTTGCCTGGCCAAAGGAATAAAGCCACTCTTTTCTATTTCCTCCAGACTTTGTCTCCGTATTTCTATTCGGCATTGGTGGACAGGGAGCCAAGATTTTGGCAACAATTACGCGATGGCTTAAGCATGCTCCCTCCAGTGGTTCATCATACCTGAGTGATACCGAAGTCACCTAGTTGCCTGTTGGGTCGGGCCAAGGCTGGGCAATGCCAGCCTTCGGTGGCATCATGACCTGTCCTCCCCAGCCCAGGTGGCCTGGTTCCCCCAAGCCAACCCATAGAACCGCTCTGGAAATAAAGAGAGAAAGAGGAAGGAAAGGTATGAGTGCTTGGATGAGGGGTGGTGATGGGATCCATTCTTTGGGGGTCTGTTAGAGCCGAGTGGAGAGGAAACTGGCTGTGGACGGGGAAAGTCAATCTGTGGGGTTTGAAAGGAAAGTTTTCTTGTCTGTCTTGTGGTTGGTACAGTGGGGGAGGGGACATGGGAATCTGAGACTTACCTTCTTTGAATCTAACTCTCCCTGCAAAGGTCACCTGACTCAAAAAGGAGCCCGGGAACAGGCGTTCACTCACGCAGGGACCCTCTGGGGGCTGGGGTTGAGGGGTATGGGGAGTGATGTGGATATCTGGAAGACAGGAGGAATTTTTCAGGGAGGTGCCACCTCTCCTCTCTCTCTTTTTCCTCTCTGCCAAGTCTTGACTCCCCCCAAGACTGCTAGCTGTTCCTCATCTCCCCCAGTACTTCTCAGCCCCCATCTTTTGGAATCTTTCTATCCCTAGGTCTCAAAATTTTTCTGGATCCTGACACTTTTGAGTTTGGGGATGTAGGATGGGGTCCTTTTTAAGGGATGTCCGTGTGCACACACGTGTGGTCACCATGGTGACCAACCCATCCCCGTTTGCCCAGGACTTTCTCAGTTTTAGCACTGAGTCTCTTGTCCCAGCCCCCTCAGTCTCTGGCAAACTTAGATGGTTGTTTACCTGAGAGGTCACCCTAACCATCACCCCGGTTCTGCTTTAGTGACTGTTCACACCTCTCAGGCAGAGGCCAAGAGAGACAGCAAAGGAAATCCAGTTCTCAGGGTCACATCAGGGCCACCGAAACGGGTTGGGATGGAGCTCCGGACCTGGGGGATGGAGAGTATGCCTAGAGTGTCTAGTCTAGGGCAGAGAAAGGCCATTGAGAGAAATGGAGGTGGGGAGCAGTTTGGGAGAGGGGGCAAAGACACCCCAGTTCCTGTCAGAAGGGACCTCTGGTTGACCCTGGAGCTCTGAGCCGAAAGCTTCTATCCCAAACACCAACTTCACGGGCTTCTTCCTGTCCTCGTGCACCGGGGCAGAGGCTCCCCAACTTCTGTTACACACTCCCCTTCTCACACACCCTCTGTGGTCAGAAAGCCCTTCGTCAACTCTGTCTTCAGTTCTTGCTGCGGTTTCGGCCCATTTCTTTTCGCCATATCCTCTGCCTGATAACTGCTGGGTCAACTCTGCTCTGGCTTTTCCCACAGCAGGAAAGGTAGGGGCACTACAGAGAATAAGGGACCTCAGTGACCACCATTACACTGTGCATCTTTCCTGAGAAGAGGCAGAGCTGGAAGGGAAGCAGGAAGCCTCATGGTCAGATGGAAGATAAGACTTTTTGGTTCTTAGCTTCGCAGGAGAGTTCAAGAAGACGAGACTGTCCTCCTTCCAGGGAGCCGGAAGAGTGACCCTTCTGGGGGCTGTTTCCCTTTCCAGCCTCCTGGTTTCCCCTCTTGGCAGGGCAGGCATAAGGCATCGCTGCCCTCACTCCCTCATGTCTGCTCCCCTGTGCTCACCTCTGCTCTCTCTGTGTGTCTAAGGTGGGACAGAACAGTCAGCTGTGGGAAGGTAGGAAAGAGGTGGTGCTGACTTCCTTGCCCAGTGCCCAGATCCTGGGTCCAAATTCATGTGGCAGGGTAGCCACATGGACAAACACAAGGCAAGTGGTTCGGGAAGGGGAAGAAATTGTCATTCTGTGTGATACTAGAGAGACCATTTGGACTTTGGCTTCTCCCAAAGAGAATGGAGATTGACCTAGAATGGAACTAGTTCTTTTAAGTGAGGAGAGGGATAGGGGTGCTGGAAGAGGGTCCTCTCCCCCAAATCCCGGTCATGGCTTGAATCCAAGCCAAACACACAATGCCGTCCTCTTTGACGTCACCTGACCCAAACCCAGAACCTAGCCACAGCGTCAACCTATACTTCCTATTAATCTAAAAATCGACATCGCTCACAGAAAATATAAAGATATCCAACATTCTGACCTCTCAATCTGAGTCCATTTCCCCTCTCTGGCTTCCTTCCCTCCTTCAGTTTATTACTCTGTTCAATGCTTCAGTCTAGACCTGCATCTGAGGCCACATCCCAGCCTACTCACCCCCTCACCCCTCTTTCCTCTCTCACTGCCCCTTCTGGGGCTCTTCTCTTCTCGCCCCACCCCTGAGGAGTCCTCCTCCCAGCTGGGCTCTTCTGGAACATGAAGAATATTCCACCTCATCTAGTGAAGGGAGGGGGTAGGAGTTCTCACCCCACCCTCAGGAAGATGTGTCTTCTCCCTCCCCTGCTCGGTGGTACTTCCTCTCTGGCTGACTTAGCTGATAGAACCTGGACCCCAGGCCAGGCCCCTGGCCCTGGGACAGATCTGGGGATAGGCTACACCACTCTGTTCTCACCCTGGGATTGACACCAGCTTCCAACCAGTGCTCGGCAAAGCCTTAAGTAAGTTTCCTGGGAGTAGGGGAGTGGGGTGGGGGGTGAAGCCATAAGAGAAGGTCTAAAGGAATTTCCAAAGAAAGCCTGACCAGTGGTAAAATGACTTGGGAGGACTTAGTCTTGTCTCCTATCCACGAAATCCTTCCCATCCCTGTTATTCTTGATGGGCCCCGGGAATCTCTGGGGCGAGTGGGTAGGTGGTTGGAAGAAGTCAGTGGGACTGAAGGGCTGAGGGCCTGGCGGGGGGAAAAGGAGCTAGCCTTTTGAGGGGTGCGGCATTGGTAAGGAAAGTCCCCACTTTGGTTCTGGGTTTCAGGGTCTCCTGAGGGAAGGAGGCTGAAGGGTCTGGAAATACTGCTTCTGCTGCTGCTATATATTTTGCAATTGGGTCTGTGGGCAGGAAGGGGCCCTGCGGCCCAGTTAGGGAATTAAGTCTTTCTCCTCAGCCAGATCCCCTTAAGGCAGGTCAGTTGGCAGTGATGGGGGCAGTATACTGCGGAGGCGCAACTGATGCTGCTGACCTTGGAGACAGAGTAGAATACGCAGGCTAGGTGTGTCCAGGGTGTCAGGAAACCCTTGTCCCTTCCCTCATGTGCGTGTCCGCCCTCGCTCTCCAGGTCCTTGCAATGGCCACGAACACTACATCTCCTGAAGCATCCTCGTCACCAGGTGTCATGTTCATCTCTCTGCTGGTTATCATCGTACTGTCAGTAGCACTGGCTGTGGGGCTGCCCAGCAACAGCTTTGTGGTGTGGAGCATCCTGGTAGAGATGCGGAAGCGCTCTGTCACTGCCCTGCTGGTGCTACACTTAGCCCTGGCCGACTTGGCCGTATTGCTCACTGCCCCCTTTTTCCTCTACTACACGGCCCAAGGCACCTGGACTTTTGGACTGGCTGGCTGCCGCCTGTTTCACTATGTCTGCGGAGTCAGCATGTATGCCAGCAACCTGCTTATCACGGCCATGAGCCTGGACCGCTCGCTGGTGGTGGCCCTCCCCTCTGTGTCCCAGAAACTCGCACCAAGACAGTTGCCTGGCGGGCGCTAGCAGGCATCTGGGTGGTGTCTGTCCTGCTGGCCACACCCGTCATCTTGTACCGCAGAGTGACGTTGGGTCCGGACAACAGGAGCCTGGTCTGCTTCCCGAAGTACCCCAGCGAAGCACATGGGCTTTCCATCTGTTCTTCGAGGTGGTCACCGGCTTCCTACTGCCCTTCCTGGCCGTGGTGGCCAGCTACTCCGACATCCGGCGCCGGCTGCGGATCCGGCGCTTCCGCCGCAGCCTCTGCACCGGCCGCCTGCTGGCCTTCGCTGCCTTCTGGCTGCCCTACCACGTGGTGAACCTGGCCGAGGGGGTCCGAGCGCTGGCGGGCAAGACATTGGGGTCCCGGCCTGAGAGTCAGCGGCTGCACCTGACCCGCAAGCGCTCAGAACGCTGGCCTTCCTGAGCAGCAGCGTGAACCCCGTGCTGTACGCATGCGCTGCCGGTGGCCTGCAGCGCTCGGCTGGCACGGCCTTCGTCGCCAAGCTGTTGGAGGGCACCGGCTCCGAGGCGTCCAGCAGCCGCCGCGGGGGCACCCTGGCCCAGACGGTGAGGGGTGCCCCCGCCTCTCCCGAACCTGGCCCCGCCGAGAGCCTCACTGCCTCCACCAACCCTCTCGAGCGAAGCGAAGTCAGCTAGGCCTGCGGGGTGGTGGCGGCGGAAGGCTGCTCGCTTTCCTCCTGGGGGAATACGCCCACGCTGGCCTGACCCAATTCTTCAACCTCCTCTTACCCAGGTGGCGGGTGGAGCGGAAGAGAGGGAGGGGAAGGGCAAGTCAGGGCAGAGTGGGAGCCTGGCCCCCACGGGCAGCTTTGCAATGAAAACTGAAGTCTGAAGTTGGGTCAACCCTGTGTGTGGGGCATGTGTATTATGGCGGACTGGGGTGCTCCTGGTTGCCCTTATGGGTGTCGTTCTCAATAGCTGAGAGGCACATCCTTTAGTTTCCCATGATTTTCAGCTTTGGAAGAGACACAGACATAGAAATCAGACCTTCTTCCCTCCCTGCCTCGGAGGCAGGTGGTCTGCAGGTCATACTGAGGACAACACAGGGCTGCAGACCCCTGAAGGAGCTGGCCAAGGAAGACCACCCACGGGGCTCATCACTCCAGACTCCCCGACTCAGCGGACCTTCACTCCCTGACTTAGCGAACCTTCTGAGAACACTTAGCACTGCTGTGAGGTGTCTGCCCTGAAGGCTGTGATGGGTATCTTTATTAGCAGGACTCCAACTTCCTACCAGTAATCTTTGTCCTCTCAGTGGGAGGTGTCCTAGGGGATTGCTTTCCTTCCCTGTGTCTCCCAAGGAGGCCTCACTTGAGAACCAAGTCATCAGATCTTATCCCCTAGAATTCTGCACATCAGCATTCTGCCAACCCCTAAAACGCTCTGGTGCAGGCTGGAGCTGAGGGCCCTCTGTGATGTGGTCACCCTTAGGAAATGAAGATTTGCAGAAGTGAGAAGGTTGAGTCATTCTTTCCTAGGGATGACTGTTGCCTTGGAGAGTCTGGGACTGGCTCTGTTCCGACAGCGTTTTAATAAGATGGTAGGGGCTTCCCTGGTGGCGCAGTGGTTAAGAATCCGCCTGCCAATGCAGGGGATATGGGTTCGAGCCCTGGTCCAGGAAGATCCCACATGCTGCGGAGCAACTAAGCCCGTGTGCCACAACTACTGAGCCTACGCTCTACAGCCCGCGAGCCACAACTACTGAGCCCGTGTGCCACACGTTCTGAAGCCTGTGCGCCTAGAGCCCGTGCTCCACAACAAGAGAAGCCACCGCAATGAGAAGTCCGCGCACTGCAACAAAGAGTAGCCCCCGTTCGCCACAACTAGAGAAAGCCCGCGCGCAGCACTGAAGACCCAATGCAGCCAAAAATTAAAAATAAATAAATAAATAAAATAAAAATACACGATATTCGTTTAAAAAAAAAAAGAAGATGGTAGCGGCAGTGTACTTTTTGAATGTCTCCTATAAAAAAAGACAACTAGGAGAAAACCCCCAAATCCACGTGCAACATCTGCAACAAACTTAGGGTGTCAAGATATCTCCCATGGACCCCAAAGTATGAGTAAGTGGGAATGAGCCCTGGATGCTTCAAGACCCACGTAATATCGGCAACTGTGCAGAAGGATGCAAAAGGAAGCAGGGGGGAATCTGAGGGACCTGAGAACAGGAGACCCTCAAACGGTCTACACGTCCTTGCTAGAAAGCATGGTGGGTCCGTTTGAGAACAGCAGTCAAAACAGGGAGGGACCTAATAGATTATTTCCCAGGCCTCCCGCCCATGCTACATAGTAAGCACATAACAGGTGCTTATTTAGTGTTTGTTGAATGAATAAAGATCAAATGACATTTTACTGGGGATTCTTTCCAGTGGATGGGGAGCAGGAAAGGACAAGTCTTTGTTTTGAGTCATGTGGATAAAATCCTTTCTGCTTCCAAGGGTACAAAACACTGGAATCATGTTGGCAGGCAGGCAGGAAGGCTGAGGCAGTCGTCTTGCTGAGCTTGTGAGAAAGAATCACTCCTTTTTAACACACTCATGCTCACACTTGCACACACACAAACACTCAGTTTGGCCTGAGAAGAAGCCATACTACTGAGAGGCGAGGAGAAGATGCTCCCCAGATACACTAGTAGCTTCTGACATCAATTCTAACCGAGACATACCAGAGTATCTTCATTGAGGATCTTATAGGTGGGAGGAGGGGGTGGGGTTCTCAGCCTAGGGTGGCCGAGGGAGGTCCAGTTCGTGTCAAATCTGTGTTCAGGAAGTAGGTGCAGAGCTGCCCTTTGCCTTTGACCTTGATGATGCCCCGGCTGTAGCAGGTGTAGCCTAAGGACTGCAGGGCGCAGGCTGTCTCTTCGGTCACCTGCAATTGGAGGAGGGGTGAGGGAATGTGGAAGTGGCCCTACCTATCACCCCGCCCCCATGCCTCCAATGTGGCTCCCTCACTTGGATCTTGCCCAGGACGCCTGTACTCTCCATTCGGCTGGCCACGTTCACCGTGTTGCCCCAGATGTCATATTGTGGTTTCTGGGCCCCAATCACTCCGGCCACTACAGGTCCGTGGTTTAACCCTGACAAGAGGTACGGTAAAGAGGGGCCCTGAGGGGGGGATTTCGAGGAAGCGGAGGGGAAGATGCAGCTCAAGGAACTAGGGTGAAGGGCCTAGGGGCCTTGGAGGAAAGGAGGAGGGGCTGGAGGACTGCGGCCTAGGGAAAGAATTGGATGGATCTCATAGCTTCTGGCCCAGCAGCTTCATGCTCCATCCCAAGGGGTGAGTCTGGAGGGGGCTCCCGGGGTGAGCTGGGGAGCAGCTAACGAAGGATTCGGGAGACGGAGAGCTTGGGAAAGTGAGGAGGAGGTCCCAGACTGTCCCAGCAAGGGAGGGTCCTCACCCACACGCAAGCGGAAGTTGTTGAATGAGTGCTTGTTGATGACGTCCAGCTTAGACCCAAGGGCCACAGCAAACTCTACCATGGTGCCAAGGTGGCTGCAGCTTTGCTCAGCATCCTGGCAAAAGGCCGGCCCACCAGGATGGATCAATGAGGTCACAGGGATAAGACCCACTTATGGGCCCACCAATGAGAGCCCGGACGAGGGTCAGCACGAAATGAAGGGACACTGTACCTGCTGTGCGTCCTGTCCAGAGGTGGCGTTCAAGCCTGTAGCTGCCATGTAGGTGCTGCAGATCGTTTTGATTTTCTCCACCCCACTGAACTTGGGCTTGGAGAGCAGCTGTACAGAAAGGAGGCTGTGTCCCCAGTCTCTCTTGCTCTCTCCCAGAAGCCCAGCCCCAGGATTTTGGAAGCTAAAGGACCAGTTGTGGGGTCAGGGATGGTGGCAGGAGGAGAGCTGGTAGTGGGCAGAGTTGCTGGGGAGGGCAGAGCTGGGGGATCAGAGGAGAAGCAGGGGGACTGGGGAGGGAGGATGGGCCTCATGGCCGGGAGAGCGAAGTGGAAGGAGGGACTGGTGGGAAATTCTAGAATCCGGGTCATAGGGTCTGGGGGGACCTTTCAAGTTGTCACCTCATCAAAATCAGCAATTATCTCATTGAGCAGCCGCAGACACTCTAGCCCCTCATGGTTGATGCTGGATTCAGAGTAAAACTCCTTGAAGTCTGGGACTGAGGCGAAGAGGACACAAACACACTCGTAGGACTGGTGGTAGAGGTCCTGGGAGGGCAAGAGGTTGGGCTAAGGGGCTATGCCACATTCTTCCCCCTTCTGGGTCTACATGGGTCCTCCTCCCTGTGTCCACACTCCACCACCTTGGTTTAAGAAGGATCGGGAAGGAACGAGAGGGGTAGGGCCAGGTTACCCCAGGGATGTGACTCAAGAGTTAAAGATTGGGTCTCATTGCAATTCCAGGAGAGACAGAGGTTCAGAGTCAAGATCACCTCACAGCAACGTGAAGGGAGTCTCTTTTGGAACTGGGATCATGTCCATGGGAATTCTCTGTATATCCTATCTTATTGCTGAAAAGTGTTAAGTCAGTTAAGTCAGCTTACAAAGATAGCTACAGTTTGGAAGATAAAATGAAGCAATAATAACCTCCAGAGCTTTGAGAAAAGGATTTTTGTTCAAACTCAAAAAAAAAAGAGCAATGGTAGGGAAAGGGGGAATCTCATTAATCCCAGATTCTGGCTCTGAGCTTTCTAGTAGCCAATGAGAAGACAGAAACAGGATCAGTTACCAGATTTCCAGTGTCTATAAGAGAAGAAACCAGGAGAAGCAGAGCTACTACTGATCTCAAGAGCAGAGAGCATGTGGTGAGGCACAAGGCTGCGACATAGCCCCTGAGCCATTTCTTTTAACACCCTCTTGATACAGGCCAAGAGCGTTTCCACAGCAGACAGTGTGAGGTGGTGGTGGTACAGAGAAGACGGTGCGGATATGTGAGTGACCTCTGATCCTCTGACTGTAGCAAGATATCTGAGGATCTAGAGCAGCATCATTCAACCGAAGTTTCTGTGGTGTTGGAAACGCCTATTATATGTGCCGCCCAATGTGGCGGCCACTAGCCACGAGAAGCTGTCAAACACTGGAAATGTGGCCAGTGTGACCGAGGAAGTGAATTTTCTATTTTCATTAATTTAAATTTAAATGGCCACACAAGGCTAACGGCTACCATACCTGATAATGCAGGGCTAGAGAGATGGGTGGACTGTGTCCTTCACACAGTTCCCATCGACACGCGATGAGGCTTCTGAAGTGGAGAGAGTGGCCATTAGAGAGGACACTCCTTCCAAGTAAGAACCTGGGAGCCGGAGATTCCGTGCTCGCCAAAGACAGAGCCTAAGCTCTTGTGAAAATGGAGGCACCTGACAGGCACCGGGGCTCGGGCAGCCACCCAACCCATGGTACAGGAGTCCAGAGAGGATGGGCCAAGCCAAGACTTTCATCGTCTGGGGCTCAGGAGCTGGGGGTGGGGAGTCACCTCGTTGCGCCGATTCTGGCCGATGAACTGGGGGGCTACGTGCGCGGGGAGCACATTCTCCAAGAGCAGCCGAGTCAGGTTTTCCATCGTCTCTGTCTCCTCCTGCTCTTGCCTCAGCTTCTTCTTCCACAGGAAGTCCAGGCGGCAGTAATACTCATTCTGGGGAGGGTCACCAGGGGGCCATGGGAAGAGACAGTACAGGGGGAGCCCCAGCTCCTGAGTGTTCACCCCTCACTCCGTGATGCTTAAAACCATCCCACACCCCCAGTTTAGAGAAAAGGCTTAAGGTGCAACTATCCCTGGGGAGACTGCCTTGAATCTAGATTCAAACTAGCGAGGACAGTAGCGGCAGCACATTTTTTCTTAAGCATGAATTCTCCTAGATTAGGGTGGGAGGGAGGAGGGGAGGGGAGAATTTGAGGGTGCTCCCCTCAGGGAGTGAAGGAGAAAGAAAGGGAGCAGGAAGGTTCACTTAGAAGCTTCTAATGGACACACCATTTGGGCGCCACCCTGGAGAGGTGAGAATAAGGGAAAGGCAGTAAGAGAATAAAGGGAAGATGAAGTCACACATATGGGGACTCCGCCTCACCCTTCCTAGGGAGGCCCTGGAGGGCTGAGCTGGGAGACTTACCTGCCGAGCCAGGACCAGGAGGGTGAAGAAGAAGATGAAGAAGGAGATTGCTCCCATCAATTTAGGCTCCTTCAGCACCCCTGGCCTGAGGAGGCTACAGATCAGGGCTTCCCTTTGCCTTGCCCCTTCTCGATGGCCTCTCCCCGCCACCTCCCGCACCCGTGCCCACGTAGCCCTCGGCCTCCCTCTCCTTTTGCCCTGTGGGTGGTTCAGACAAAGAGATGAAAACACTTCTGCTCTGTCCCATCGCAGCCCGTGCCCCACTGTGCAGCGGCCATGCGCACCTGGAGTCCAAGGCACCCAGATAGAGGCGGGCGATGAGACAGTCGGACAGCCAGGCGTGGGAGTGCAGAAAGAGGGAGCAGCAGGCTGCCAGCCACAGCAGCAGCATCAGCAGCTTCAGCTCGAAGCTCATGTGCAGGAAGAGGGAGCAGGAGAGGAACCCCAGCACGCAGCAGTGCACGGAGTACTGGGGGCCCGGGCAAGGCGGTCAGGAGGTGGGGCATGTCCCTCGGGCAGAGGCGGGGGCGGGGGCCGCCCCAGGGCTCCTGTCCTGCCCCTCCCAGGGTCCAGTCCTAACAGGAGGGTAGAGGGTGTTGGCCACACACACACACACACACACACACACACACACGCCACACACACACATGCCAAGTGTGACTTATATCTGTCCCGGTCCACAGGATGAAGTGCTTTTCAACTAAGGGGTGGGGGAGGGGCGGAGGAAGGCTCTAGAGAAGGAGATTCAGGGCTGTGAGGGATACTCACGGGGACGCTGATGAGAGGCAGGGACCCAGGGAGCTCCCAGGAGAGGTTGGAAGCCGTGAAGGACACATTGGGAGCCCGGAAAGGGCAGTTTGATGCTGCCGGTAAGAAGACCTGCAGAAGGAGACAAGGAGCTGAGGCGGGCAGGCAGTTCCTTGGGCACAGTGGTGGCTTGTGCTGGGTTGCAGCTGACCCAGGGATGAGTCGTAGCCAGACTCCTCCAAAGGGGTGGAGCCTGCTATCTCTGGTTGGTGAGGGAGCCTCAGCGCTGGGGTCCTCGCTGGCTGGGGCGGGGGGGGGGGGGGGGGATTGGGGGAGTGGGTGTCCTGAGCTCTAGTCTGTCATGGATCCACTGTGTGATCTTTTGCCAGCCACTTAACCTCTCTGGGCCCCAGCTTCTGCTTCTGTAACTTGGATGGGGGATGATTCCTAAGGTGCTTTTCAGGGATAGAATTCTAGAAACGATGCTAAGTTCTGAAAAATCAGCCAAACTCAGCTTACAAAATCATAGTGAGTAAGGTAAGGAAGGAAGGTCTGCATACATAGAAAAAAGATAGGAAGGATATCCACCAAAGTGTTATTAACAATGATTATGACCAGGTGGTAGGTCGTGGGCGACTATAATTTTCTTTTATACTTGTCCAATATTTCCAGCATCCCCTGGCTTTAGTCCAGCAGTCCTCCCAAATCCAGGGGTCCTCTTTCAGCCTCTGGCAGGTCCGGCATGCCTTAATGGGGGTGCATAGGGCCCCGTCTCTCTCACCAGGCTGGTAATGGCCATGGAGAAGACGAGCAGGATGGTAGCGGTGCCCAGGGCAACTCGCAGTCCGGGCCGTGTGGCCACTAGGACAGACAGTGTGGGCAGCCAGTGCAGCATCTTGGGGCCTTTCAAGACACACTTCTGTGGAAGGAGCATGGGAGTCTTAGCCATGGGGCTGGGGCACCCACTGCAGGCCAAGTCGTGGTCAGGGCCCCAGCTCGCCACTCTGCCCCCAAGCCCACCTCACCGTCAGGTGCTCTGAGAAGCAGACGAAGAGGAGGAGGAAGAAGAGGAGGAAGGTGATGCTATAGGTGATGGTCAGAGCTGGGGGCCTAAAGAGAGACAAGAGCGAGGCCTGTAAGAACCAGAAGAGGTTTTCTGAGCGCTAGGAGGGTGCCGTTCAGTCTGGTTGGGAGACATGGGGAAAAGTGGTCCTGGGGATCTGAACCGGCTGCCGACGAGGTCTAGGCTGATGAAAGGCATTACATGCTGATGATCTGGGAAAGCTGAGGGGTCAAGGACAGTACTGGGATAATGTAGGGGTAATATTGGAAGGGGACAGGGGACTCACAGGAGTGGCCGAGGCTGCATCAGACTGGTCTCTGCGCTTTCAGGCCAAAGCTCTTTCATCTGGCTGAGTTTTGAATGAGTCCTCACCCCTCCTAGCAGTGAACTGGGAGTGAGGACCTACTCTCTAAGCTCATTTGCTGTGAGATTTGGACTTCTCAATGGGAACAAAACCTCCTTCATGGGACTGTTGCTAGAATTGAAAGACGGGTATGTGAAAATGCTTGGGGTACACAGAAAGTCCACAGGATGTAAGATAGTAAGATGAGGGCTACGATGACCAGTTCCCCAGACCACATGTTTCCATTTCCTCTGTGGCTCAGTGCCCTGAGCCGAGGGGAAGTGGGCAAGGGAAGAAAGTGTGGGCCAGGGGTCTGGAAGAGCCAGGGGTTCTGTTCTTGCGAATCAGGGCTTCCCTTGCCTCGGGGTCCCTCACCTGTTTGTCACCAGCATCTGGATGATGAAGTTGGAGAAAAAGACCAGGAAGGTGCAGGCTGCATAGTATTTGAAGGCGGGGAGTGCAGAGAGCCGATACTGGAAGGGAGGGGGTCGGTGGAGACAGGGCACCAGTGCTGCCCATCACCTTGAAGGTGTCAGTCCCAGGCAAGGAGTGGGTCCCCAGCCTCACTGTCCCCCCTCCAGTTCTGCCCCAGGTAGCCTCTACCTGTTCCCCAAGGAGCTGCCCTCCTCCCTCCCATCACCACCCAGTAATTCAATAGATGGGTATGAGCCCTTCACCCACCAGGGTCACAAACTGGGCAGACCTGGGGAGGGGAGGTGGGACCACAGGGCCTGCTCCCTCCCCAGGGTGCAGGAACTGAGGTTGGGAAGTCCTATGGTGACATCCCCCCAGTCTACCTCTTTCTCCATCTCCTTCTCTCGGAAGTAGAGTGTCAATGGGTTGAAGTCCTCTGATTGTTTCCACTGTCTGGTGGAGGGTGGGGGCAGTAAGCCCGGAAGAGGAAGGGGCAGGGAGGAGGGCGTGGTCCGGTGAGTAGAAGGGCTAGAGCTGGGAAGGCTCTCCCTTCCTTCCAGGTCCTACCACCCCTCCTCTACCACATGAGCCCAGGCCTCCAGCCCTCCCAGCCCTCTCCTGCTCTCCGTACTTCTGAGAGTTGAGCTGTTCGATGACTTGGAAGAACTTGGCATCCCCGGTGTCTAGTTCATCATCTAGTCCCCGGGGAGTACGGCTCCTGCACAGTGAGAGCCCAGCCTGTCACCAGGGAGATCCTCAAAAGCATCTGGGCAAAGAAGGAGAAGCCCCCCCAGGGAGGATGGAGGTAGGTCACTGGGACAGCCCCACTGTCAAAGTTGTTCAGGCCTCCTCACCGGTCAAGGCTCCACTGGGGGCTGAAGGAAGACAGGGCCTTCTCCTGCAGGGAGAACACAGGGATGGGGGAAGATGAAAGATGGTGAGCGTCCTCCACCGTGGTGGAGCCTCTCTGCAGTGAGGCATTCCATTACCTACACCCGGCCTTGACTGCAGGGAGAACACAGGGATGGGGGAAGATGGAAGATGGTGAGCATCCTCCACCATGGTGGAGCCTCTCTGCAGTGAGGCATTCCATTACCTACACCCGGCCTTCACTTGAGCATTTGACCTGGCTGCTTCCCTTGCCTCTAATGAACTCTCTCTCTCTATCTCTATCTCTCCCTGTATATCTCCATTTCTACCTCCATCTCCATCTCTATCTCTACCAAATCCCACCTATCCTCAAGGGAAGGTTCGAACCATATTTACTTCTTCAAGCTCCCTCCTGACTCTTCGGACTCCCAGAGTCTCTATACTCTCTGATTTCCTCATAGTTTCTATCACTTAGGAGGCAACCCTGGATCCTCTGTAGGCACGAGTGGCTGTTGATTCCTTGTCTCATCTTCCCTAAGGACTGCAACAGATTCCAAAGGCAGTGACTTGCCCATCACCCCATGCCCCAAAATCCCTGTTGGTTGAAACTGGAATGGCAATGCAGGACACTCTGAATCTCCTCTGACCTTTCGTGATGGTCAGGCTGAGCTGGGAGGCGGTGAGAGAGGGAAACGAAAATGGAGAAGAAAGGGAAAGAGGAAGAGAAACAAACCTGGTTACAGTCAGTCTCTTCTGCACCGAAAGGAATACGCAATGTGTGCAGAGACGTGAGAAGGAGCACGCGAGCAGGTGAAGACAAGCGCCAAGGAAGGGGGTGAAGATGTGTGGTGACCGTCCTTCCCCACTCGCCTGGCTCATGTGAAGGAAGCAGGGTCACAGGGGGCCACATCATCCCCCAAACCAAAACCTTGTGTATGTGAGAGGAGCAGAGGGAGAGACGGAGAGCGATTGAGAGGTATGTTCTAGGCATGGGGCCATCTATGCCTGATCCTCGCTTTTATCAGACTACCTACCTGTGCCCCCCATCCCGGGCCCCATGCCTATAAGTTATCTGAAGGCAGGGAAAACGTCTTATTCATTTCTGTCTTCTCAAGAACTAACCTAGTGCCTGCAACATAGTAGGTGCTCAAAGATTGTGGAAGGAAGGAAGGAAGGAAGGAATGGATGGATGGTAGCCACCACACAAATAGCACCCCACCACCCCAAAGTTCCGCCTTGTTTAATAGTAGGCTAAGTGTGATTCTCAGGATTCCTAACATTTGAATGAGACCCTGGGACATCAGGGGCTGAGAAGGGAGTCTCTGGGCTGGTGAGGTCCTGCCTCAGGAGATACCTTAGAGCAAGGGATTCCCACTCTGCCCTGAACTTCTCAGCCTGCATGCCAGTGGGGGGTTGGGGAGTTCTGGCATGGGTTCTGGGGGGCTTCCCCACCTCGGGGATTGTACCCAATATTGTCTTACAGCCCCTGGGCTCCCGGCAAACCCCTTTCTACCCCACCCCCACTGGGAGGTCTCATCCTGCAACAGTCAGCTGGGTCTTGGGCTCTTCCTTCCTCTCCATCCTGCCAGCTTAGCCCTCTGACAGCTCCCTTCCCCCTGCTGAGGCTTGAAATTAAGCACTCAGCCGCTGAGCCACTGCTGCCAAGGTCCACCCCCTCCCCGCTCCCCACTGTTCACTGATCTCTGGCCTGCTTTCCTGCTGGATGGGAGAGGAGTGGGGATGTGACACAGAAAGGGTACTCTGTAGTCACCCCATAGATTCAAGCTGGTCTACCTAGTAGAGAAGATCCTGGGAAGATCTGTGGATAGGTGGTTGGGAATGCTGAACAGGTTTTGGGCAGATAGGGTAAAATGGAGGAGAACGGGCTGAGGAATGTAATCCCAGGGCAAGCCTTTAGGGACATGGCCTGGGTCCCTGCATGAGGGGGTTCTGGCCGCTTGTCATCAAGTACCAACCTCAAGAGTCGGCTGGTGGAGGAGATCCAGGCTCCTCTGGCAGCTGGTGAATCACTGACTACCTTGAAGTGCTATGTATAGGTCAGCCAGTAACTGGCCCTGCTCTAACTTACCCCAGAGGAGGGGTAGGCCGGCTCCCCTCTCTCCCTCCCCCCTCCCGCCCACTCATGGTGATTTCCTTCTTCAAGGCCATGAGAGATTTTCACTGTCACCTCATTTTATCTGTATACAAGTGTTGGAGAGTAGGGGCAACAAGCGACTGGCCCCGCCTTCCCGGTCCCAGAGGGGACTGAAGAAGAGAGCGTGCAGTCGCAGGACTGAGCTAAACAGAGACACTTCCTGGTGGGAATAGGTGTGCACCAATGGCCTCAGAGTGAGGAGGAAGTAGGGTACCAGGGGAAGGGGCTTTCCTGAGTAGAGGCTGGGTAGCAAGGGCCATAGTATCTGTGGGATCTTGGGTCGTCTCTGAGCTGAGCTCAGAGGGCAGTCATCTTTGCCCTTTCTCTGGAAAGAAGGGCAAGGAAGGTCCTGAACCAGTAACTAGGGTGACCAGAAAGTTCGGGACCTTGTGACGTCAAGTGACTCACTAGTGGTGGGGGCGGGAGGGGCTGGAAGTGGGCAATGGGGGTGGGTTTACATAAGTGCTGGGCTCATGAAGGAGGTGCACGTACCGGGAGAGGGGTGGAGGTGGACACAGGGCTCTCCACATGGCTCAGGTGGGCGAAAGGCTTGGCTGCACCCCAGGACTCCAGGTAGCGGGTCATCAGCAGTGATGGACGCATCTTGGGGCCCTCAAGAGAGGACAGCAACCCGCCTGCAGTGCCCTTCTCGTCCTCCTCAGCCTGGGGCACATGAGGGCTGAGAGTCAAGATCACAGACCCTTCCCCATTCTCCCCACACCCCTTAAAGGCTTGTGTCCCCTCCCCCACGATACACACTTCAGGACATAGGAGCTCAGTCTCTGGCATGGAAGAGATCAGGCCCGTTGGCTGTGTATGGTTAGGGTGGGCCAGCCCATGGGGTCCAGGCTGGGCTCTTACCCGGGGATCGATGACAAGGTAGGTCGGCTCCCCTAGCTCCCGAAGGTATGGGTCCCCGTGTTCCATGGCTGCATCCTCCACAGCATAAGCCCCTGCCAGCAGTGCCAGCGTAGCCCCTGTGATATGTACTCGTCTGGAAGAAGGGGGCAGTGGGAATCAGAAGGGAGGGCTTCCAAATCTCTCATTTCTTTCGAGGATCATTCCTGGAGGTCTGACTTCAAGCAAGGCCCTGTGCTACAGGATGTGTCTCCCAGCTCCCCTCCCTGTACCCCAGGATCTCTCTGAGCCCCACTTGGGAACGTGCCCATTTTAAAGAACTATGAAAACCAGGCATGTGGGAGGCCTGACTGGGCTCTTGCTATAGCCTGCTGGAGCCCCAGCTCTCACCCTGGCACTCCACTCGCCTCCATGTGGTTGGCCAGAGTGACGTCATGGGACCAGACATCATACTGCCACTTCTGCAGCCCGATGACCCCGCAGAGCACGCTGCCCGAGTGCACGCCCACGCGCATGTTGATATCCACGCCGGTGGCTGCCCGAAGTTTCCTGAGCAGGGTGTGTGGATAACAGTCGGAGTGCTGCCTTCAGTCCTACCCATGCAGCACCCCTCCCTCTCTCCGGGATGACTTCCACTACCCTGCCCGCCCCCACCCCACATCCATCCTGCCCACCCGAGCTGACCTGATGGCCCGGCACATGTCCAGCCCCATGCGCACGCAGTTGATGGCGTGGTCTGGCAGCGAGAGCGGCAGCCCGGAGACACAGTAGTAACAGTCTCCCAGGATCTTGATCCGCATGCATTCATGCTCCTGGGGGAAGGGTGTACAGGGGGAGGGGGTCACCTGGTTAGTGGTCAAAGGAGGCAGGAGAGAGTTGGGAAAAGTGGGAGCAAATGTGGTGTTCCTGAAGAACTTCTGAGGTTGGGATTGTCTAGGTCAGATCTAGGGACTCTCTTAACTTGATACGGGGCTGGCTGAGGCCTCCTATGTGGGTGTCTTTCTCAGAAGGGCTTCTGAAAGGTTGGGATGTCTGTGGCTCTCTCCATCTTTGGCATGTGTAGCGTGTATCCAGATTTGAGCATATGAAAGTCACCTCAGGATTGAGGGTTTTTTTGGGGGGACACCCAATATTAAGTTGCTTAGGGGCATCCCTGGGGACTGAGAAGGTAGCTGGGCTGAGGATGCAGAGGGCAGAGGTTTCCCTTGGAAGGGCCTCCTAATGTTAGCGCATCAGAAAAATCTATCTAGATTTGGTTGCAGTGTCCAGAGACACCTATGCTGGGGCTCAGAGCCTGTTTGGGGGTGTTGTGGTTGGGGCATCTGTGAGGATGTTGAAAGGTCTCTCCAGGTTTGAAGTGTGTGCAGTGAGCAGTTCCATACCTGGGGAGATTTGAGAGGGTTTCCTACCTGCAGTGGAGTATCTGGGAGCCCACATGGACTTGGAAGTGGGACTGGGATCTTATAAGGCAGGATTTTCCCTCGGAAGGGGATCTCCAGGGTGGGGAGTTTGAAGGTGGGGAAGGAAGCCCCCTCTGACCTTGGCGATCTGGTCGAACTTGCCAAAGAGCTCGTTTAGCATGAGCACCAACTCCTTAGGGGAGCACTCACTGGCCAGCCGCGTGAAGCCCACGATGTCAGCATACAGCACGCTGGGCAGAGCAGACTGCGTCAGTGGGGCTGGGGTCTCAGCCCACGTTCCCTCCCATCTGCCATCCTTCCTTATACCTCACTCCCTGGTGCCTCTTGACATAGAGGCTGTGGAAGTTGTTGGTGCTCTCTGGCCGTGACCCCTGTCCAGCCTGCAGCCGTGCCATGATCTCCGCCTTCATCTCTCGGGCCAGGTAGGCAGGAAGGATGGACAAGAGAAGGTGTTCCTGGGGGAGGTGACTATAAGCACCAACACTCCTACCCCTAAAACCAGGAGCCTCAGCCCCCCCAAACCCTTAGGAGCCCACAGACTTCCCCAGCCCCAGAGGTGTTCCCAGGGCGCTGGCCCAGGTCCTCCCCCCCACCTACAGCCTGGCTCCACCCCTGCCCTGCACTGATCACCTTTAGGGACTGAACTTCCAGCACCAATACCGGAGTTAGAGCCCTTTGTTTAGTATCACAACGTTCTAAAATGCTTTCACAAGCTTCAGTTTGCTTGAGCCTCACAGCGGCCTTCCAAGGTGGGTGATAGCCACATTTTACAAAGGAGGAAACAGAAGGTCAAGCGACCCTCCCAAAGTCATTCAGCTTCCAGAGCCCGGTTGTGTGATCTAAACAACTCCCCCCTCCGAGCCCCGGTCCCTCCCGGCCTCCCGGGCCCAGCGGACCTGGTGCTTCTTCTCGGTGTCGAGTCTCCGGCGGGAGTGCAGGGAACTAAGCGCCTCCCGGAACGTGGCACGCAGCGCGCGCTCCATCAGCGCCTTGTGGTATGCTCCGGCCACGTTCCCGCACAGGAACAACACCGCGTTTGCCGCCAGCTGTGGGGAAGGGTCAGCCTCAGAGGACGCTGGACCCCGGGGTCGGGGGGCTATTGTGTGTAGCTGGATTGGTCTCTGAGAGGGCTGAGGAGGACTCTGCAGTTAAGAGACCGAAGTATTTCGAGGCAACGGGTGCCACACTGTGGGACCCATAGGGGGCACTTCTCCTCCCCCCGCCCCAAGCAGACTCTTGGCTGCTGCACCAACACGGCCTCTTAGGTCTAGAAACCTTGGCACGTACGTTTCCTCTGCTGGGAATACTACTCCACCATCCCCACCCGCGCCGCAGCACAGCACTACTCAAGCTCCAATTTTTACATTCTCTGTGATGGTTCCGTCATCCACATCTGTCCCCACCACCCCAGTCCCCTGGCGAGCTCCCTTCCCCGTGGGCCCAGAGCCCTCTTCTGGCGTTTGCAGGCATCGCGCTGCGCTCTGTACCAGCTCCACGAGGGCATGGTCGGGGTCTGTGTTTGTACCCTGCGCCCAGCGTTGCGCCCTGCCTTGGAGTCACAGCTCATCAAACGGTTGGTGAATGCCCAGAGGTAGCAAGTAGCGCCCAGCGGAGCCAGCCTCGGACGCAGCCTGTGCTCCGCGCGTGCTCACCTGCGGCAGCAGCGCGGGCTGTGAGTTCGGCTGAGGCCCAAGATACAGCCCGAGGACCAGCAGGTGTGAGAGTGAAGAGGCGAGGCCCGCGGCGGCGGCGTCCCGCATGCCCAAGGGCAACATGGCATACACGGTGAAGATGACAAAAAGGAAAAAGGGCACCTGGGGGAGACGGGCGCGGGAAGTTGCACGCTTACACCGCTGCGCTGCTCCTCGGGGCCTGAGTGCGCGTCGGAGGCCCGGGAGTCCCCTCCCCACTGCTCGGCCTGCCTCACCTGGTCCCAGGCGCTCACCACGCCCCCGGTGAAGAGGAAGCCGAGGCCTAGCGCGAGCAGCGCTGCCCACACGAGGCCCGACAGGGGACGCGTCCAGCGCTGCAGTCGCTGCTCGCGGGAAGCCAGGCCCAGCAGCAGCGAGAAGCCGCCCAGCCCGCACAGCATAGTGGTCAGGAAGCCCGGGTCTGAGGCCAGCTCCTGCGGGGGAGGGGGTACATGAGGCAAGATTGGCGTGTGGAGTTTGGGGAGCTTGTCCAAGGAGAGGAGGAGTGGGCAGTCCCTCAGACCCGTTCTGAAAACTGTTTCAAACCCAAGTAAGAAAAGCAGGTAGGGCACCTTCACTTGCCATTCATATTAGGTTGAACCACATGAAATTGCTGATAATCTGTTTTTTTTATTTTTTTTTGAGTTTAAGATGCTGCCTTCTCCCTCTCTCTCTTTTTCCTTTTTTAACATCTTTATTGGAGTATAACTGCTTTACAATGGTGTGTTAGTTTCTGCTGTATAACTGAGTCAGCTATATGCATACATATATCCCCATATCCCCTCCCTCTTGCGTCTCCCTCCCTCCCATCTTCCCTATCCCACCCTTCTAGGTGGTCACAAAGCACCGAGCTGATCTCCCTGTGCTATGAGAGCCAGCAGTCTCCTGTGATTCAAACTACTATCTCACTGGCATGCTGCAGGGGGACTGAACCTTGGGCCATCTACCCAGAAGACCTGGCTCCAACCTCATATTGGCCATTTGTGAATCCAGGAGCTTTCTGAGACTCAGTTTTCTCGGAACTAAAGCACCCCTCCCACCCCCACCTGGGATCCCAAAGCAAGCGAGAAATTCCAGCTCACAGAAGGCACTTAGGCATGAGTGTATCCAAATCTGGCCAATTTGCTGGGGAGATTCCCTGCCCGGGGCCAAGGTTCAGAGTTTCAGGCCCCGCCCGCCCCCCACCCCACCCCACCCCACCCTCAAGCAGAGCTTGGGCAGGGGGGCGCCCAGAACCTCCCTCGCCTGCCTGGGAGCTGGATCTCACCATCACCTCAAGGCGTAGAAGCCCCCCACTCCCACCCCGGTCTCCACCGTTTGTCCCCACCTCTTCCTGGACTTGGAGGAGGACGGGCAAGGATTGGTCACATCCAGTGGTTTTCCCACCTTGCCTCCGAAATGTGAAAAGAAAACTTGACGCAGGATACTTCCAGAAGTGGAACTGAAGATCCCCTTTCCCCCCACAAAAGAAACTGGAAACGGGTTCATTTTGGAACTAAATGAGAGTGGGATGTAAAGTGTCTTCTGGGACTCTGTGGGTACAACTGCCCTACGGCCCCTAAAAGGGAAAGAAAACCAGGAAGCAGATTCCCACGGGGCCCAGTGTAATCCCCCCACCCCACCCCCCGGCCCACCGCCGGAAAACTGGAAATTCCGGTGTTGGATTTATTCTAAGACCAGTAGATCACAGAAGCTTGTAAGGTCTGAGGTCTGTCAGTACCCGCAGGGAAATTAGAAGCATCGAGGGCTCAGCTATCTCCTTGTGTAGACCCGGAGACTGTGGCCCAGAGAGGCAGAGTGACTTGTGTAGGGTCACTGCAGTTCCTAGCAAGGTCTAGCACTTGTTTCCCGGGTCCCAGCCAAGAAAGCACATCGAAAAGAAGATCCACGTGGGACCACCCTGGTGGTGTCCAGTGGTTAAGACTCCGTGCTTCCAGTGCAGGGACCGTGGGTTTGATCCCTGGTTGGGAACTAAGATCCCACAAGCTGCAAGGCGCGGCCGAAACAAAAGAAAAGAAGACCCACAAGTCCCAACCCTGAAAATGCCCCTGAGGCAATGACCCTCCCGCTGTCCCCGAGGAGGCACCCTGCACCGGAGCCCCACTCCCTGCACCTCCACCCCCCCCCACCCCCCCGCCACTCACCCTGCCGCTGGCCCAGGCAACAGCGAGCAGCACCAGGAGCCCGACGAGCACGATCACCAGCAGCAGTAGCAGCAGTGGGTACTGCTGGCTCAGGCTGTAGTAGGTCTCGTAGAAGAGGTCTTCGCTGGGAGGCGGCCGGGGACTGAAGAGGCGGGCCATGGTCTCCCCTGCCCAGAGCTATACCGCCTTGGGGTGACCCCTGGGGCTGAGGAGGGCCAGGGTGGGTTACTGAGGCCCCAGCTAGCCCCAGCTGTGCCGTTCTCACCAGGTCCAAGCCACTTGCGCCCGGACCTCCCGACCTCGCTATCCCACTTCCTCCCAGGCACTCCCTGTGACCTCCTTGCCTTCTCCCAGTTGGCAGTGAAGGGACTGCTCAATGCTTTGCTCCTCCTTCCTCAAACCCAGACTGCAGAGGTGCTCTAGCAAAAGCCAGGGGCACAGGATTTAGGGTTGAAGCAAAGGAGCCCCGGCTACCTCCTCTCCCCCAGCTCACTGCCGCAGCTGAACGGGCTAACCCCAGGGCAGGTTTCGGAGTCACACTGGCTGCTAGGCTATTAGCTCTGAGCCCCGGGCAACAGGCACTTCCCTCCCGGCGGCTCGGCGCCCTCCCACTTCCCCGGTGGGACAGCCCGGCCCTTCCTGTGCCCTAGCCGGACTCCGCAGACCTCCTCCCCCACTCTGATTGTCTCTCCTAACTCCACAGCCTCCCCACATCTGCCCCCTCAAGGGAGAGGAATGCGGACCGCGGGGGAGACGCAAGGGGTGGGGTGGGCTGAGCCAAGCGTCAAATGTCAAAATGGGTTCAGAACCTTGGATGTGGGGAGACTGAGGGCGGGCTGGAGCGAAGGCTGGCAAGGATGCAGGGAAGAAGAACATGGTGCCATACGGGGGCTAGGTTCTAGGTTAGGATGGGAGGCGGTCATTCCCTGCTCCTCCAGCCTAGATGGCAGCGGTGTGGCCGTATCTGAGTGGTCCATACTCCAGTGGTGTCCAGCTCCAGGGGAGGGGCACATCTGCGTGTAGCTTTGTGGAGCCGTCGCTGTCCACTCCCAGACAGCAGCTGAGAATCAAAGGGTTCCAGTGCCTCCACGGAAGCAATGTGTGCATGCAGCGGAGGGAGGTGGTAGTATGGGGGCTGACGTACGAGAGACTAGGGGCATCATGCAGGGCAAAGATGTGCTGGGGTCTGCGAATTCCCATGGCGAGCCCCCTTCCCCAGGACTCCACTGCCAAGTCTCCACAGCCCAGGGAAAAGGTGGTGGCAGGACCACAGCCTCTGTCCTCAGGGTTTGGTTTAGGGTGGGGTCTGGGCCTGCTCTACAGGAAGTGCTCTGCCCTGAGATTAGAGCTGCCCAGGAGCCAGACCTCCAGGATTCCTTCCTGCCGCCACCAGCTGGGCCCTGACCTTGTGTGCCACAACTCTGCCCACCTACAGCCCTAAGCATCCCCCTTCCCGCCCTAGCCAGACACGGAAGTGCCTTCTACTCCCTCGATGTCAGCTCCCCCGCCTCTCATCCACGTCCCTTCCCGCCCCTGGCTGAAGCTTTAGCCTCGTCGTGGTGCTTTGGTTAAAATTCCACCACATTTATTGACTCCTGGGGTCACAAAGACAGTTTGGGTGCAGGCCTGATGGCCCTCAGAGAAAGTCTAGGCTAGCTGCCTCAAGTCCAGGAGGCAGTTTAGAAGCTGCTTCGATTCCTGCTATTATGATACCAGCCCTGTGGCCCACTCCAGGCTTCGGGTTCTTGCCGTCCTTCTTTCGAACCTATTCCTTGGGGGGTGAGCTGGGGGCCCCTATCCATGCCCCGAGGTGCCAGGCCCTGCACGGATGAGGCAGTTCTTCCTTGTATAATCATATGGTTGTTGTTTCCAATCTGTACCCCTTGGCTATGAGGTACGGTAGGAAACCGTGGCACTTTAAGAGAAAGAGTGATGATGGTGGGAGGGTTAAGCGCTCTCGAGACTCAAAGTGAGGAGGAGCGGCAGGGTGGAGAGGCAGTGGCACCTCGTGTTCACCCTGGGGAAATGCAAGTGTGGGGTCTCCGGGCCTGCCAGTGACTGGGTCAAGGTGTGTCTTCAGCCTTCCTCTTCAGGCTGCACCTTCAGAATTGGGTTTGCAGAAGCTCAAGAGGAGTGGCAACTAACATCTGAGACTCTGATGTTTGGGTCTTTTCTGATGGGAAACCCTCTGGGCATACATGGCAACAATGGAATGGAATTCAGGGGTTCACAGAGCTGGTGTTGGGGAAAGTCAGAAGGCTCAGGGGCAAATCCAGGCTTTGCTGTGTGACCTCAGTGGATGTCAGTTTCTTCATTTATAAAATGAGAAAGTTGGGTTAGGTGGCCTCTAGCCCTTTCTCATTCCCCTCCCCAAGTACCCTGGATCTATATTTGGTCTTGAGGAAGAAGCTGGTGGAAGAATTGAGCAGGGGGAAGGAAGGAGGAAGGAGGAAGGAGTGGGTACCTGGTACTGGATTTGGCCCTGGTGCCCTGGGAGGCCAGTTGGTGTCACGTATCTCAGCCCCCTGCAAACAACACAGGGCTCTCAGGCCCCCTGTCCTGGGCCTTGTTCCCCTACTGCAGACCCCCTCAACCCCAAGTCTCCCCTAACAAGGGGACAGGATTCACAGGAGTCCTAGTGCATCCCCTAGTCCTACCAATGTCTCACCTGATACCCTTGGGGTCCAGGACCTGGGGTCCAAGCCGAGGTGGGGCTGGGCTTCTGGTTTCTGACAGGTAAGGTCTCTGGATTTTGAGGAGGTTGGGCTGTTGAATCTGAAGAGGTCTCTGCTGTCCAGGGCAGGCTGAACCTGCCCTCTCTGGGCCCTGATGCTCTCGGGAAGTTTTGTACATTTTTCAGGAACAGACCTGGGGTACCCCTCCAGATTCAGGTTCATCATTTCAGAGACCACGGAATCATGGCTTCCTGTGGTTCCCCCAGGGCCATCCATTTCTGTACTTTCCGGGCCTGGCTTGAGGACAGACAACAACCTGCTGCTGCCCCTGTGCTCGGACAGGAACTCCTTTACCTGCAAGGATGGGGAGCTGGCTGGGCATGGAGGTGGGAGAGCCAGAGCAAACCCAAGGGAGGAGTCTCTTGCTTCATATCTGTTGCCTGGGAACTCAGGGATGGGGCGGGGACACTGGGGACAAGAGACAAGGCTTAGAGAACAGTGGTCAGTGGGGAGTCATTGGGTGGTCAAGGGAGCCACGTTGTGTCATCCTGCCCAGCTCCTAGGTGGGGTGAGGGCATTGGGCACTCACTGTGGAGACTGCAGCATTCATCTTTTTACCAGACATCTCCTTTCTTTACCAGATCGAGGACTTTCTGGGTGTTTGGTCGGCATTCTGGAGAGAAGGCAGAGTGGGTGAGCAAAACTTCTTTTCCAGTGAAAAGCCCCTGCTCACAGATCCAGGCCTACCTCAACTGCCAGCTAAGTGGCCAGCGCACCTTGGAAGGAGGGTCTCTTCTGGGGCTCATGGCTCCAGCAGTGCTGCATTAAATCCTTCAGTACTTCCAAGCCAGGATCTCAGGGCCAGACTGGGGCAGCTCAGTCAATGCAGGCCGGATCTGCCTCTCACACACTGCTTCCCACTGCAGTGATTTATGGTCCACTACTGGGGTGTGGGTGTGAGGAGAAGACATTCAGAGTATGAAGGCCACCTGAGCCATCACGGAAAGGGGCAGGGAGTGTAGGAGATGTGAGGAGGGAGTAGGGCCGTCTGAGCAGGTAAACAGGAAGAGGAGGGCTTGGGGATTGGGGGTTTGGGGGAGGGGGCACCTGAGGTGAAGGATCCCAGAGTCTGCCTAGAGTTTTACTCTCAGCTTCTCTTCTGGCTAGCACTGCCCACATTAGGATCCCGAAGCTGCAGGAGACACAAAGCTGAGGCCTGACCCACCTGCTGACAAGACTCCTTTCCATATACCATCCCTTAGAAGGACCCAGCGAGGTGTAGAAGTTGGGGATGTATGTTTGGAGTACCTTACCTGTAGACATCACTGGCCATGGAGGCCTTCCAGTTTATATCAGCCAACAGTTCTGGGGCCAAGTAAGCTGGGGTGCTCCCTGGCTCCCCAGATCCTGCCCCTGTCTGTGAGACTCCCAGAAACGTGGACAGGCCCAAATCTTCCAGCTGCAAAAGGAGATAAGAAGGAGGAGATAGGAGGTGGACAGGGCCTAGCAGCCTCCAGAATCCTTTCCTCTCCCGCACAGAAGGCGCAGGCCCTTCTGTGGCTGCACAGATATTATGGTCCCAGCCTTGTAAAGGGGGTGTGGAGGGTTAGTGGAATGGTAGGACCAGTGAGGCTCCTGGTTGGAGGTCTGGGTCCCCGCTCCATGGGGCTGGGTCAAGGTCTGAGTCTCCTGGACTAGTTCAGCCACGGGTCTTTGGAGGGCCCCGTGGGGTGGACCCATGGAACTGACCATGTTGGCCAAGGCTTCTATCGCCTGGTATGGCAGGGGCTAAAGCTCCTGGATGAGCCTTGACACTTGGGCAGCACTGCGTCCAGAGGGAGATGCTGAGGGTATTCAGAAGACAGGGTTGCAGCAGGTGCTCTGTCCAGTGGGTGGGGTTGGAGCAGCTCTGGGGCAGGACCTCGTCCAGGGGTTGGGCTGCCTAATGGATGCGCTGACCTTGGCATGCAGCTCTGAGTCCAATAGGACGTTGCGGGGCTTGAGGTCCCGGTGTAGAAGCATGGGGTAATGGCTGTGCAGGTAGCACATCCGGAGCACCAGGTCCTGCAGCAGGCGGCGGAGGAGCGCCCCGGCCTTGGGCACTGGGGCTGTAGCAGCACCGCCAGGGAACGTTCTCCATGACTGAGTCACCAGAGCCGGCGCAGACACGTACTCCCACTCCAGTTCCTTTGTGGCCCCCAGCAGGGGTAGCAGATGACTGATACACAGGCTTGCCACGGTCTTCACCTCCCTGGATATCGCCGGCCGGCACTCTGGCGCGGGTTGGAGCCGAGCTCCCTCCCGGGAAGATCCTTCCCTTCCGCACTCCGGCCCTGCCACGCAGAGGCCCCTCCTCCGCCGCCCAGCTTCCCAGACCAGACACCCGCCCCCAAGCGGCTCGGGCACTCACGAGTTCACGATCTTCACCGCCACTTCCAACCCCCCGAGTCCTGTGCTGTGCCCGGAAGACAGCGCCAAATCCGCCTTTGCCCATGAACTCAAGGTTCTCCACTTCCTCGATGGGCACCAGCGGGGCTGAGGTACCGCTGTGCCTGAGAGAGGGGGCCTCATCACCCGCCGGCCAGGGCCCCAAGGCCGCGCGGCTCCCCACACCGCCCCACCCCCCAAGCCCCGTGACTCAGCTCGTGTTGGTCAGTTCAATCTCCAGCCTCCCCCGTGAGCCCCACTGTGCCCTGGGGTTGGGGGCCGGGAGAGCGGTCAGTCTCCAGGCCACTGCACGGATTCCGCTTCCCGGGTTGCTTTCTCTACACTGCCTGGACCACTTCCTTCTTTGACGGAAGCCTCTGCAGTCCCGCCCTCCGGGGCAGGTTGGGGGGAGGGGGTGCCGGTGGGGTGCCGAAGGGAAGCTAGCGCTGTTCTTCGGGTGCCACGGCCAGGTTCATTGTCCCTGGGTATGCAGGGCGCCACGGAAGGAGTCCTCACCTTCTAGGAACCCACAATCAACCGCCTTCTAAGCTGGCGTCTCACCCTTATCCCACCGGATTCCCAGCTCCACCGCCAAGCCTGGGATGGTGAGGATTGGGGGAGATGGTGCTGAGGAGGACCTTATGGTCCTAAGCTTCCGCTCTCCGCCAGCTGCCTTAAGATCACAGCTAACACGTGTCTAAAGCTCACCGTGTAGGAGGTACATAATATAGATTAGCTTACGTAATTCTCACATCAACCCTAAGGAGATAGGTACTGCTTTTGTTACTTCTTTATAGGTAAGGAAGCGGAAGCACGGATAGTGTAAGTACCTGGCCCAAGCGTGTGTGGACCTGACCTCCAAGCCTGGCTCTGAACCATCAAGCTTTGCTATTTTCACATAGGCTTCAGCTGGTGGAGGAGGTGGCTGGGGTAGGTGTGAAGCAACCAACAGTCTGCATTCCTGCCCTTGGTAGTGATTTGTCTGCTGGCAAGACCAAGACCCACTCCCAGGGTGTTGTGGTCAGCTAGGCGAATTGGGCCAGCCAGAGTGTTGCTGTTATTGTAGTGTATACTGTGGTGGAAACGCCTCAGAGCCTCTCTGCCCTCTCCCCCCACGGCAAATCCTCCATGCGACTTCTCTGGTTAACAAACGTTCCTGACAAGCATTTACTCTGGACAAGGGCCCTGGAGAACTCAGGAGCAAGGGGAGCCTTAAGGATTCAGGGTGGACAGAAGGCGTCCATATTTTACCTGCCCAAGGCCTGACCATGGCTGGAGGTTGTGGAATTAGATATAGCCAGCCTTAGGCACTCAGTTCTTTTTGGGGAGACCCAACCCTGTGGGTCATGGGTCATGGGCCAGGACTCACTGGAGGGTGCTCACCTTGGTGTGAAATTTCCATGCTGTCCAGTGGTCCATGGGCCCTGCTAGTTGGAGCAAAAGTGGCCAGCAGTTAACTGTGGTTTCTTGAGCACTTGGAACTCCAGGATCCACATCATGAATTCTGGTGGAGTCAGTCCATGCTATTTTCAACCTATTTAGGGAATTCTTAGACTGTAGTCTCTTTAAAAGCTGGTACATGGTAGGTACCCAATAAATATTTGTTGAATTGAACTAATAAATGAACAACCAAAACTTTTGAGGCATCATCTTAGATGCTGATCACCTCAGCTGGCACTCCATACTCATTGGGAGGAGAAAGGAGGTTGGGCTTCTTTATGGTTTAGGGTCTCTTGCCCGCACCTGCACAGCTGACAGAATCCATCTGAAGACTTTATTATGGCCATATGGTGGTATCTCACAGAATATAAAGGCAAGTTTGGCAGGTCCTCAAAAAAGTCTAGTTCAGGAGCTAAGAGCCATCAGAGAGGATAGCCATTCCTTTCATGATTCGTTCTGAGCTTGTGGGCTCAACACCTGGGCTCCACTTGAGGAGAGTAGTTAGAAAGGAGTTAGAAGTGTGTTTAAAAACCTTTTACAGCTGGATTTCCTTAGAATGACATAAGACCCTGAGAATCAGGGGGAGCTACTGTAAAGCATAGGGTTGGGGATGGTGTCAGAGCCTATAATATTTTTTGACTCAAAATAAACCAAGCCCCTTTAAGAGAAGGAGGGGTAGGGAGAGGAGCCTAGAGTGAGTGCCTGAGAGGACCATCTGCTTTCTTCTTCTGGCAGGAGGGGACAGGCAATGGAGAGTTGAGTCCTGGATTTTGGAGCTCTGGCCTTTCTTGAGGCCTGGTACCCCTGACCCCAGTTGTCCCAGGCTTTTGGAGTCTATTTGGGTGTCCCTCATCCCTTCAGTTCTCTACTGCTGATTGTCTTCGGTTACCTTCAGCCCAGCCCTTGTACCTGCTCTGATTCCCTATTCCTAGTTGCTGGGGTGCAGGTGGGGGTCAGAGGGTGTTGTCTCTCTTCTTGCATATTCTAGCCCTAACTCATTCTCATCTGTTGTTTGATTAAGAGATTAATCAATTATAGACAAAATGGTATTAACTGAGGTGACAGTAGAAAAGATTATGGAGAATTTTTATTTTTCTTAGTATTTGAATATTTTATATTAACATGTATTACTTTTATAAGCAGTTAAAGAAGGAAAAAAGATTATGATGCATGCAAAGGTTTAGCTGTAAGGATATTCACTGAAGTGCTGTTTAAAATAGTGAAAAAATAGAAGCTTAAATATCCAGTAATAGGAAAAAGATTGAATACATTATGCAATAGAAGACTATGTAGCCATTAAAATGATGCTCTAGATCTATATTTATTAGTACAACAGGTGTTTATCATATATCAAAAGAAAAAAGCAGGTTATAAAACAATATATACAATATAATCACATTTTTGTTTGTTTTAAAAATTCTCTTCCAGTAGTATCACAGAGTTTGCAGAAGCCTCCCATGGCATAATACCTAAATGCTATATAAAACACAACATATTTTAAAAGTAACTTAGGGACTTCCCTGGCGGCACAGTGGTTAAGAATCTGCCTGCCAATGCAGGGGACACGGGTTCGAGCCCTGGTCCGGGAAGATCCCACATGCTGCCGAGCAACTAGCCCATGTGCCACAACTACTGAGCCTGCATTCTAGAGCCCACGAGCTACAACTACTGAGCCCATGCACCACAACTACTGAAGCCCATGTGCCTAGACCCTGTGCTCTGCAACCAGAGAAGCCACTGCAGTGAGAAGCCTGCGCACCGCAGCAAAGAGTAGCCCCTGCTCTCCGCAACTAGAGAAAGCCTGCATGCAGCAACGGAGACCCAACGCAGCCAAAAATAAATAAATAAATTTATATTAAAACAATTAAGTGGCCCCATATTATTAATGCCCCCTGAAATCCAACAGAAGCAAACGGAATTCTCCCTAGGGGAGAGCATTCTCAATCCAAGCCTCTAGATTAAATTTAGCCAAATATAAACTCACCAAAAAGTTACTAAATATGTAAGGATTCAAGTCACCACAAATGAGAATCAGCAGGAATAATAATCAACAGGTTTAAATCTTTAAGGGCTCCAGAGTTTGGAACAATCAGATGATGTATCTAAAGAAGCTATTGTGAAATGTTTAAAGAAATAAAAGATGGAGTAGAAAACATAAGCAAGGAATAAGAGATTATAAAAAATGCCCAGGTAGATTTAGGAAAAAAATAGAATATCAAGAAATAAAAAAGTGTATGTAAGAATTAAAATTAAAACTGCAATGCAGAAGATATAGCTGAAGAAAGTGTACTAAAAAATGGATCTGAAAAAATTCATCAAAATGCAGCAAAAGAGATAAGCTGATAAAAAAGTTAAGAGTCAACAAATGAGGTGGTCTTACAGTCACCAAACTGGCTTCTGCATGAGGAGAAGAGAAAGAAAATGGGGCAAGGCAATATATGAGGAGCAAATGGCTGAAAAATTTCAAGAATTGATGAA